CCCCCTCCCCAAAATGTGTATATGCCACGTCGTGCCCAGCTCACCAGATCCCTGTGACCGCCTTCTGCTATTGATGCCTTGTACAGACGCTGTACATTCTCAGCAATGAAGTGCTGGCATCCACAACCCTCTCAAGCTTACGGCAGGTCGATGGCGCCGTTTACATTGTTCGTAAAGCGATTCAAGCCCTTTTTCTGCCGTGAAATGCCTTTTTTTATCCTGTGATTGCGAGCACCTTTTTGTTGCTTGCAAGAGACTCACCCTGCCCCTCTTGCTCTCTTCAGTTCAACAACCCTTTTGCCTGTTACCCCTACCGTATCGACTGGTCCCGGCTGGGTGCCTTGGCGGCTCCTGGTGTCTATGACTCCCTGTACCCCATGTCAACGCTGGAGACGTCGCGATGGGTGGATATGACCGGACTTGCGGCCACCTCAAGCGCCTACGTCGAATACTGCCAAAGTTTGTACTAAAGACTGCAAACTTTGCTCGTTTATGCGTACGGCCAGTGCGTTGGATCTGACCTCTCTCTCTCTCTCTCTCTCTCTCTCTCTCTCTCTCACTCTCAACGCCCGACCTGCATCGTTATTTCTTTGCCAGGCCATACCCCCTGCCATGAAATCTGTGGACCAATTGGCACCGCCACCTGCTGGGGACCAGGGGCAACGCAGTGTCAGCGTTGCACGTCCCCGAACCTCCTTCTCGCCTACAACGGATCTTGTGTTGCCGCCTGCCCTGACGGGTATTATGCAGATGATTGGATCTGCCAACCTTGCGTCAACGATTGTGAAACCTGTGAGGGGCCAGAGCTGGGCGCATGCCTTTCCTGCCCGGTGGACTTTTTGCTTGAGAATGGCCGCTGCAAGTCCGTCTGCACGGGTGACGCAGTGTACGGGAATGTCACGACGCGCACGTGCGAAGACTGTCATCCGCAAGTGCGTTCCATGCACAAACCTCGCCGTGTCTCGCCCTTCTGCCATTGTTGATCTGTTTCGCCTCCTTGCTTATATTGCTGGCACTGTCCGACCTCGGCACTGTTACGCCATTTTAGTGCACGACCTGCACTTCGCCTCTATCAACGACCTGTACCCGTTGTGCCGAAGACTTTTACCTACAGCCGGCTCCCAACAACACCGTCTGTGCGGCAGAATGTCCCATGGGTTACTATGCTAGTGCACTTGAAGGTTCCTGTTTACCCTGTGCTGCCGGCTGCCTGGCTTGCACTGGTCCAGCCAACTGCAGGTCAGACCCCCTTTTGGGATCCAAGCCCTTTCTCGCGTGCCGTTCGCCCTTTGTGGCCACGTGGCTGTCGTCGTGTCTTTATATCGAGCTCAAACATGTCCACTCCGCTCTGATTTTGCTCCCACCCTCTTTGATTTAGCTTATGTGATGTAAGCGCCGACATGTACCGTCTCGTCACGGACGTGGCTCAAGTGTGCCGCCCGGTGAGCCAGTGCGATTCAGGCAGCTTTGCCAGCCAGGCTCCTACAGCCTCCTCGAATCGTGTTTGTGCCGCCTACACCATCTGCCCGACCGGGGAAAGCTATGTCACCTTTGCAGGCAACGCATCATATGACCGCGTGTGCGAACCTTGCACCACCTGCGACGAGGGCATGGTCTATCGACTTGGGACCTGTGAAGGCACCACCCCTGGGGTCTGCGTGCTGGAGAACGCCTGCAGTGCCACGCCGTGCGAAAATGGCGGCGTGTGTTCCCTGACGACATCGGGCGAGTTTCAGTGTGACTGCTCTAACACTGGTTTCTGTGGAACTATTTGTGCTGAGGCATTGCAAGATGATGGCACCTGCGCCAGCGAGCTGCGCTCGCGCGCCAACGAGCGAGAAGCATCGACCGCCACCACCATTGGGGCTTCGTTGGGTGGTGTGGCACTGGCCGCTTTGCTTGTAGCGTTGATTATCGTGCTTTTGCCTTCGAAGCGAATCTCTGGAGCAATGAAAAAGCGCATTCAGGCTCTCAATGGCGGCAAATGGGAACTCGAACGTGATGACGTTACAAGTGAGTTCAGAGCACGTTGAAGGATGCGTACCAAAGTTGTTCTTCCAATTGCTTTTCTCTTTTTGCGTGATGTTTGCTTCTCTCTCCATTTCTCTCTCTCTCCATTTCTCTCTCTCTCTCTCTCTCTCTCTCTCTCTCTCTCTCTCTCTCTCTCTCTCTCTCTCTCTCTCTCTCTCTCTCTCTCTCTCTCTCTCTCTCATGGTATGGTGTGCCTTGCAGTTGGTCAGCAGCTGGGCGCAGGCCACTTTGGCACCGTGTCACGCGGGCTTTTGCGCAAGTCTGATGGCACTGGGAATATGGATGTGGCCGTAAAGCAACTGAAGCGAGAGGCTGATGTGGATTCGGACGCAGCCGATGAGTTCTTCCATGAGATGAAACTGATGATGGATCTCGGCCACCACCAACACGTTGTCAGCCTGGTGGGCGTCTGCACGACGGAAAAGCCCATTCTGATGGTTATCGACTTTGCCAACGGTGGAGATCTGCTCAACCACCTTCGCGATGCGCGTCCCAATGAGCGCCGAGAAGCCACGCTGCGTGAGGACGACTTTCGGGACTATTGTGCTCAAGTTGCGGCTGGCATGGAGTTTTTGGCCTTTAAGCGAGTACGTAGCCGCTCAGTCCGACCAAGCATGGTCAGAGCAACGCTCATAAGACTGTATTACTTACTGGTCGTGCTTTAGGTGATCCATCGTGATTTGGCTGCGCGCAACGTCCTTGTCCACGATGACGGTAATGGCGTGGTGCTCAAGGTGGCCGACTTTGGTCTTACCGTTCAACTGCGCAATGACGAAGAGTTTCGGGTCTGTGAGGATGACGCTCTACCCTTCAAGGTATGTCCACATGGCCTAATCAGTCTGCTGGCTCAAGCGGATGTTGTTCCGTCCGCACATGATTGACAAGGTGTTGTCTTGACCTCTTTGTGCCGAACTTTCTCCCTTCGGTAGTGGCTGGCCCCCGAGTGCTTCACGGATAAGACCTTTTCTCAAGCTAGCGACGTTTGGGCATTTGGCGTCCTTATGTGGGAGGTTTACGCGTTTGGCCAGTCGCCTTTCCCAGGCATTCAAAACAATGAGGTGTACGCACGCTTGGGTGAAGGCATGCGCATGCCACGCCCCGCTGATTGTAGCAAGCAGGCCTACGACATTATGATGCGTTGCTGGAAATTTGATGCTGCGGTTCGTTTTGGCGCTCCTCGACTGCACGTTTGAATCTGACTCTTGTAGCAACCGTGCTTCTTGTTTTGTTTTTGGTTTTTTGGTTTTTTGTTGTTGTTTTTTTTTTTTTTATTGTACAGCCATTCTTTGAAAGCGTGAGTACTCACGATGCGTGTCGAAATAGGAACGACCAAGCTTTTCAACGCTACTCAATGAGTTGTCGGCCTTTGCGGGCAAGAACATGCGCGACTATCGGCACAGTGTCGACATTACCACCTTGGCACGCGCAGCCGTTGATCTGGTATGGAGGGTTTTTGCAATGTCCAGAGCGGCTTGATTGGGCAGTCTCACAGCCAAACTTTTTGCTTCTTGGCCGGCACACTCGCATGACAGGGTGATGAGGCGTATGATAACACGGGTCTGGTTAGCCCCCTGGAGGTCATTTCTGAAGAAATGCCCGAGGGCGAGAATGGTGCTCCTTCGCGCTCCAGCAGCGGCTACGTATCGACTCTGACCCAAAATGCCCTCGCCGCGTATGCAGCTAATCAGGCTCGTGAGAAAGGTATGCGGCTCTGAACAAGAAAACGCTGACCACTGACCACTGAAGTCTGGTCACCAATCCCTGATCTGTGTTTGGTTCCGCGACTGGCCACAGACACACGGAATGGACAAATGTCCGCGCTTCTGGAAAGCGGGAATGAAGCTGATGCCAGCGCCGTTGCAACACTGCGTCGCCCCCAAACATCCTTTCAAGATGAAATGCCCAACTACGATTTGGGAAATGACGAAGGCGGCGGTGCGTTCGGTCGACCGACTTTGATCATTTTTTGTTCCGAAAAAGCAAACCCCCCCCCGAAAAAACCCTAACCCTCACCACCTTCCTCACCGGCACGATGAACGTAGCAGGTACTGGTTCTCAGTCGTTTCAAGATGATGAGCCAAGCTATGATATGGGCAATAACGCCGGTCAGTACTCTGGCACGTTGGACCCTAGGTGTCTGTGTGTGTGACTCACAAATCACATCACAATGAAAATAGAAGCGGATAATGCACCAGAAACAACTGGATTTCAAGATGAGGATGTTCAATACGATCTAGGCAACGAGTAAATGGCGCGCCGCGACGTCGGTGCTCCGTGCGCAGCCTCCGTGCAGCTATTTAGCCTGCTTCATTGATTTTTGTCTTTGGTATTTTTTTTTTCTGGTAATTTTTGGTAATTTTTTTTAATTGTGCTTTCCCATTTGTTGTGCGGGGACAAGCAAGGTTTTGGCTTCTAGCCCCGAGTGTGTTGTTGCTTTATGTCGCTGATCTTCTTTTAGGTGTGATGAACAATGTTGGGCATTGTGTGCCGTGCTGTTTTTGTGTGTACGTCATTGCCGTGCTGTTGGCTGCTTGCAATGATAATTGTTGCGTGATATCTATCGGCTGGGCCGGTACCTGCGATGTTTGTGTTTGACCCTGGCTGTTGCTTTTTGACGAGGACCAGAGGACGTTGGTGTCTGGTGCTGGATTTTAAAATCAAGCCCCTTGTTGGCAATCTCTTTTGTCACGCTCCAGCACGGATTTGACGCTAACATTTTTTAAATCCGAAGGAAGGAAAAAAAAAAAAACTCGATAAAAATGTATCATCACGTCGCCAGCCAAGGAAGCAATATTGAGAAATCCACCTGCTGGGCTTCACGCAGCTGTCGATCAACAAGAGCTTGGTCAAGAGACTTTTGGCTCAAGGACACTTGAGGCCATTGAAACGCAATTGATTATTCCCGTCAAAAGCTGCTCTTGAAGGCATGAATTCGAATTTTGAAATTTTGAATTTTTGCATTTACAGTTGAAAGAAGTGAGCTTGAGGCGGAACGTCAGTTTGTTCGAGTCAAGTAGTCGATTAAGAAAAAAGTCCGTGTATCTGATGCATGCTTAACAGAGGTGGTTATGGCAATGTTACATCTGAGTCTGCGGAACTCGACTGAATACACCGCCAAACTTCCATATGGGAAGCTTCCAGATCAGACTGCAGGATATGTGCATGAAAACCCCGCCATTGGGCGATACAGCCGGCCGAGGCAAGGCGGTGTCGCAGAACGTCATGCGCATACAGCACAACAAAGCGTGGGTTGAGATTCTCCACCAGGCGTGTCGTCAGGCCACTGGGGTCGGTGGCCAGCTCTGACGCTGTATTGTTCCCATACTCTGGAGAGGCACACCACAAGTGATGCAGCACGAGGGGTCGAGCTGGGCAGTGTAGGTGGCTGAAGGGGTGGCAAATAGAACGATGAGGTTCGCTGGGCGTGAAACAATGCGAGTCATGTTTCCTTCTGGGTGGTCAAGGGGCAGGACTAACCTGTGACCTGGGTCCGTATGACATGGGGTTAGAAAGAGAACGTCAACATTGGGCGCTACGGGTGGTGCTTGATTGCACAAGTCAGAGTCACGTAGAAAACGGGTGGCAGCTAAGGGACCTCCTTGGTGAAACACGCCCGTGTAAAGCATCAACTGCCAACACCGACGGAGTGGGGGGAATGCCTGTGGTGAGGACATACGATGCTTGGAGGGATGGGGCAGAGCATGAAATGAAAGGCTGGACAAAGAACGCTGACCGGGACGTTGGTCAACAGTAAAAAGGCAAGAAGGCGAGGCCAGCGACTGTCCATGGTCCGGCAGCTAGAAGTGGGCACGGTTTCAAGTGGATGGGTCAGATTGTGCAGCTCTGGAGGGC